TTCATATCTTATTTTTTGAAGATTAGTTGGCTCCTACATTGTTTTTGTGTGAACTTTCCAATTTGAGTATTTAGTTCTGGTAGAAGCTATTCTTCTTTTATCTACATAAGTTCAACTCTTTGAGAAAATGATAACGAAAACAAACAGAAAGAAAGCAAAAAATCTCCTCTGTGCCCTCTTAATTACTTCCCTTTTGTTTGCTGCCCAAGCAGAATTGTCTTCATTCATATAAGGTAATTTGATAAATGATATCCAGGACTCCCAGGCTTTCTTCTCTTCTTGGTTCTTCTAAGTTAGCTGGCAAGTTTCTACATGAAATATACTCATTTTACTTGGCTATTGGCTATATCTTAAATAGCAGTCTTAATAGGACTATTTGTGCATTTTGCCCGAATATTTTGTGTACGCCTCTTTTAACGTCTGGATTTTGTGACGATTTTAAATCGTTTAGTTCATTTCTATCATACGTTAAGAAAATGATGAATAATTTGTTATTGGTGTAATAATCTCAGAGTCCGTGGATGAATCCTAGCTTGTGAGAGTCATGCACCAACATAGTAAGATGTGGAGTATGAAGCTCAGGAACACATTTCCTTGATTAGCTAGCTATTAACATAAGGGTAAGACATGGAGTATTAATACTACCACACACCATGAGGAAAAAAAATAAACTACAAAGAAAGTTTGAATATTTAAATGACATGACTGTCACCGAGAAAAGTAATCAATTCGTATGATTTTGTTAATATATGTTGTGATAGGTAGAACGTACGTTTTGAGAAGATAGGCACTATTTTAATGAAATAATAGTGTGGATAAAGATAAAGAGCGAGCTTGAGTACTTCGATGTACCATCTGTAATTTTTATCCAAGTGGGGGAGCCTACTACTGGTGACTGGTCTATCCAACATGTGCATACCTAGTTCATAATCGTGATACACTTATAGACTAGTTATAGCTTGACACAGTTGACCTTGAGGTTATTCTTGGCTTAGATGGGATGACTTCTTGTTGCCCTATACTTAATTACTACACTTATCTATTTCAATTGATTCTAGTATTGAATATAAAGGATTCTCGGTATGTCTATAGGCAAAGCTACGTTATTAGTAAAAGTTCTGTGTATGATAAATGAAGGTCATATGGTGTATCTAACTATAACTCAGGGTAATAAAGTTGAGTAACCGACTACTGAGATAGACTTAGTAGTTAATTAATTTGCAAATATATTTTCAGAGAACCTACCGAGTGTACCACATTATAAGGAGATAGTCTTACTTCTAGAAATTTAGTTGTTGTTTTTTTGGTATTATAGAAGGACATGGAGACAAAGAAACTAAGAGAATAAGTTACAAGACTTCATGATTAAGAAGTCACTAGATCAAGTATTTCACTTTGAGATGCTTAAGTTCAATTTGTTAAAAAAAATAGTAGATTTATGAATTTGTTAATCAGTAATAGACCGATGACTTAGAGTGCTATGAAGGAAAATTATCTTTTGTTACACTTAGATGAATTATACATTCAGTTATAATGACACCATGGATGAAATAGAAAAGAGTTAAATACTATGAAAATATGTTCCAAGATCATGATAAGTGTGAACATATAATGATGTCTCTTGGATAATAGAAGGAACTACTGATCGTTATGTACTAGATGAATCGAATATCCAAATTGTTCCTTAACCTTCTAGTTATTATTTTTATTAATGTATGAGAATATTTTCGTATTTGATAGAAGCATATGATGTCACGTCCATAATTCCATTCCTTTTTTAATGTATCACCGACCGAAGAGGAGCGTTGCCTTTTTGGTTGCTTATTCTCTGGACGGAGACTCCGAGAGGATGCACTTGCACCGAAAGTAGATCCGACGACACCCATTAAAGCAAAGGCCTCCTACATCAACCTCATCGCATCCGAGGGATCGGCCAAAATGTCCTCCTCGGGGACGGAAACATAAACCTGTGGTGGACCTGAATTTGGCTGAAAAAGAAGGGCTTCGCCTGCGTGTTCCCCGAAGCCCAAGAAAAGTAGGGTTGGAAAGCCTAGGGCCGATCTCGCGGCCCTATCTGCAGAAGCGGTCCAACATCTAGATTCAGGAAAGGATGGGATTGTGGCCGGGATGATGTCCCTGGTGGCAACTACAACGAACCGCTCCATCCACCCATGGTCGTTGTCATCGTCCATGCTGGTGAGAAAAGCATGGTGACCACGTTTGCTGAAGTTTATCATTCCCCTACGAAAAATCTTGGGGGATTAAAGGTTCAGCCGAGCCATTGAAAGCTCCTCCCTCGTATCCTGGCATAACCGCTGAAGGCATGCTACCGTCTTCCATACAAAAGGGCTCACATGTGCCAAGCAGACTTGGTAGTGGAAGCCAAACTCCAAGATAACGGAATCAAGCCCCGCGCTCAATGAGAACGGGCCCAGAGTGAAGGGTAGGTGTAAACATACGTAAAATACATCTTGGAGAAGGTTACCCGCTCCGCTACGTCAGGAGCAATGATGGTCAAACCTTGACAACCACAGTCTTCCTTCACAGCAGGGATGCTAGAAGGATGGATGGAAGTAGGATATAACTATGTATAGTTAATGTAAATCTATGTATACCGACTAGAAAAAGTAAACTGTGACTTGTATTTTCTGGATACTAACGACTGAGTTTTACCTCCATATGTGAAACTGGCCTTAATGAACCCATCAATGGCGGTAATAGCAACGTTACGTTTCTCATGGATTGACTATATATTTTCTTCGTTTTTCTTTTTCTCCTGTTGAAATGGACTTTATTTCCAATGTGAAAGAATAACAAGACATAATTGAGGAGGATTTATATAGTTCAATTGTTGATGAAGAACGATCAAGTGGTATTATATCCTCTTATTTTCATGTAGCCATAAGATTTAGGTCGAAAGGAAAATGATGAAAATTTTCCTTATTATTGCTACAGGATACTCGGCAACTATTCTTGAAAGTGCTTAGGTTCTGGCTCTGTAATATGCCTTTGCCGACTCGCAAGGTAAAGGCATTTTGGAGTAGTTTTTTACTCGGATTGAGGTAAGTAACAGTTTTAAATCTGGTTCTGAGGGTATGAAACCCCGGATGTTGTGCTATGTGATTATTTTGGAGGTGATGCACATGCTAAGTGACGGGCGTGTGGGCATACACCGTGGGAATTGTGACTTGGTCTGTCACGTGGAACCGTAAAATTGGAATAACTTGTTATTAGCTATATGTTTCTCTCTGTGTTATAGAAATTGGACTGAAATCCAAGTTAAAATCATGCTTAGGCTATATGATATCACTGTTGGGACCCGCAGTGGTCGTGCACTTGTTGATTTAGCTACTATTTGTTGTCTTGTACTCAGTCATGACTTTATTTGCGTATCATGCCTCCATCTCTTCTCGTTCCTTGTTGATACATGTTTTATCTTTGTTTTGGGCTGATTTAAATGATTTCTGAGAGCCCGAGAAACTAGGGAGGTTGATGACTGAGTGAAGCCGAGGGCCTGATTGTGAGATATTGATACCATAGCACGTGAGTTGTCCGTGTGGATCCAGATATTTATACTGTAGCACATGAGTTGTCCATGCGGATCTCGATATGATATTAGCACGTGATTTGTCCGTGCAGCACGTGAGTTATCCATGAGAATTATAGCGCTTGGGCTGTAGGAGCTCCTCGTCTGTACACCCCCAGTGAGCGGAAGTACCTATTTAGTGTGGGTACTGAGGGCTGAGAGCCGAGTGATTGAGCTGTTGAGATGAGTTGAGTGATTGTTGCCCTGAGAGGTTGTACTTGCTTTCGTTTGTTGTTGCACTTAGTTGCTATCTATCATTGTTGTGAAATTTCTGAAAGATTTTTTACCCGGTTTACTTGAACTTGAAACTGTATAAAACTTATTTGACTTGAACTGCCACATTTAAAAGCATGTCTATTCTTTACTGAAATTACTGAAAATGAACTATAATTGTGTAGCTCGTCACTATCTTCAGTTCCTTATTAATTATTGTTACTTACTGAGTTGGATGTACTCACGTTACTCCCTGCACCTTGTGTGCAGATCCAGGTGTTTTCGGACACGGTGGACGTTGATCTCGTGCGTGGTTGAGTATCGGTGACTCACGAGGTAGCTGCCCACGTTCGCAGTCCTTGTCTCTCCTTTCTTGCTATCTTTTCTTTCCTATATTGGCATTTGACGCAGACTCTTGTAGAACTGTTTCTGGACTGGTTGTTTAGATGCTCATGACTTAGTGACATCCTGGTGTCGGGCTATTTTCCGCATTTATGTTTTGGGTTCACCCCGTTCTTATGAAAAACTCCGGTTATTTTAAATGTCTTAATTCATTTCTGTTAAATGTTGAAAGTATTTTGAAAATATCGGCTTGCCTAGTACCACGATAGACGTCATCATGACAGGTTAAGTTTTGGGTCGTGACAGTATCATTCAAAATCGCGTCATAATCTTTTAGAAATAACATGTATATAAATAATTCTCCACAATGTCTGAAATTAACACTAGTAAAAGTTAAACATTTTGGTACATGAATGTAAACCCTTTTTATAATGTACTACTAGTAAAACACACTAAAAAAAATCGGTAGCCAAGAGGTCATTTCAGACAATCATGTCACAAGTTTATAGTTTAGTGGCCGTTTGTTACCTAATCGACCTTTTCCTACTACTTGTCTCAGTTATACACTACAAGAAATATAGGCTACGGCCACATTTATTTAACAACATTTATAACAAATGTCATTAAAGAGTTAATATTCTGACATTTAAAGCAATGTGTGGTTAAATAAACGTCATTTGGCACTAAAAAGTCATTAAATGTTATGACATTTGATTCAAATGATGTATTTTTCACCATGTTTATCGAAATTTGCAGCAAACATTTGGAATTTTTTATGTTGACCAGTTGAGATTTGAATCGTTCATTCCTCTCTTTTTATTTTCCCTCTCTCCAGCCCCCTTTCAGCACCCCCCCCCCCCCTTTTCAAACCCTAAATTCTTTGAGATAGCGTCCATCCTTCTCTGTTCCCATTTTACAGAATCATAGGTGATGGTAACCTCCACTTGGGATGGAAGGTTTTTCAACTACTATTACAGCTCGTACAAACTTGAGCATCTCCATTCTCTTCTCTCGCCTCTCAAGGAGACCTTCTAAACCTCTGTTAATAGATCTCTTTTCAAATCGACCCAAAACCAAATATGCAGTCAAAGTTTTCTTCACCTTCGAGTCATTCGAAGTATCCTAGTCTTGTGACCTTGTCAGAAGGAGAAGCCAGAGTAATTAATGTAATCTCTACGAGGTTTTTTACTGCGACTTTGATGAATCTTCAATTAATTTCTTCTATTAATTTGAAATTGTGGGTTGTTCATATTAAAAGATGGGTTTGTGATTCATTCACTCCGGGTATGGATGAAATCTGGATTGCCGATGTATCTTATTTCATTTATGTGTGCCACATTCCGATAAATGAATTATTGCCCCATGTCAGTATTACCTTTCTATAAATGAATTAGAGCACCTTATTATATTAAGCATTTTAATTGACAAGAAATTTACCTTTTGAATTGTATAGTAGTCTATTGCCTGCCAACTGTTTGAGAGAATGCTCTAGAGTTTTGGCTAATGGATTTTGTTAGAGAATCTATTGGAGGTTCATGTGTGTATGTATTTTTTATTATTATCCAGGTTATTTAGAGACAACCTTGATGATTGAACTACGTAGAGTCCACTTGAGCCTGTGTAGTTGGCAAGCTCCATTTTCTCTTCTGGATTGGTTAGTTCATTTAATCTATCCCATCAGGTTGTTGAGTTATATATCTCTTTGTATATTGTTTCAGCTTGATCATGTACTTGCTCTGCATTCTTTTGTGTGGTAATCAACACTAATATATATACTTGTTGCAGTAGTGTTAACTTGCATTGCCGCTGTTTGTTTATCATGTGTCACAATATATGCTAAACAAAGAGTTTGGTGAATTATCTTGTTTAAAGTTATGTAGCCAGACAATAAGGCTATTGTGCCTCTGCTGTATTTCTTAATTTTTAATATAGTTCTTTTAGTTTGTGCCCTAATCAGTAGAGTGTAATTCTTTTCTTTTCAATTTCAGTTGCAGACAGCACTTCTGAAGGATGTAAGCTACTATAGTGTGTGCGAGTCGATGGGGTAGTGATGTACTGATACAAAAGCTTCTTCGTCAAAGAACATGGATACTAAAGCTTTAAATTGTATAGGCTATTCTGGAGATGTTAACTAAGAGAAAAGTTACAATTATGTATATAGTGTACTGGAGTATTTCTTTTTAGTTCATTTAAATTGCCTGTGGTGTATGACACTTGAAAATGTTGACATTAATATGAATGTTTGCGGTATTGCGATGAGTAAATGAATATATTTGCAGCTATCTCCTCTCTATACTGTATGTAAAACAACATTTATAACAAACTAGTTAACTAACCCGCGCTTCGCGCGGTCAAAATTTTCCTTTTGTAAATGTATTTGAGAAAGAAGTAAACCTTTTAAAGTACCAAATATGAAAAAATAACTATATAACCTAATAGGAAAATAAAGAATTCAAAATATAAGAAAAAGACACTTGGACAAATAAATAGAAAACAAATTCAAATAAATAAAATATTATCTACCTCTTGTAGTTTTATAATGATGTATACAGTTGTACATCATTATAAAAGGTATTTGTACATTTAAAAATTGATGCTATTTGTACATCATGATATGCGTAAATCTCCTATTTAATGATATGCGTAAATAATGGAGTATAACATATGCAACTAAAGCACTAAAATTGTCTCTCGTTAATTAATATATTTGGAAGATAAGCTTTTTATGTATTATCAAAATTATTATTTTGTAACATAATGCACGCACATACATTGAGTAATATGTGACCTTTTAAAGGCTTTTCATACTAAATGTGCATGTTTAAACTCACACGCCCAATTTATTTCCAATTTGTAAAGAAAAAGATAATCTAAGAGATAAAATCACGACTTTTGATCTTAATCAGAGTTGTTGAATATGCCTTCCTTTTTCTTCCATGGAAGAAAATAAATGTTTTATAGAGAAAAATTGATCACGCCCAACTATGCCTTATAAAAAGGACCCTGCGGACGTTGCAAATATAGCCCGAGTATTACGCCCAGGGTCGAATCCACAGAGAGTTAACCTATCAACCGCTATCTTCAGACCCACTAAGTCTTCAGAACCAGCTTCTCAAATATTCAAATTCTCAGTTGAGTGTTCTTTAACAACTAGCTTGCAAGTAACTAAATGGCTGTAACTAAATTAATAAGGTTGTAAACAATTATGGGACAAAGCTAAGGCAATGATTTCCCCTATTGATGGAATCCTTTCTGTTTATGCTCATACAAATTTACCCACACATCTCTATCAATCATGAACGCTAATCTTACCGCAAATCTCTCCCGAGTAATCACAGTAATCTACTATTGCACTCTCCCGAGATACACTAGCTTGCTTTATTTAGCACAATTCAATTTAGATTGCACCCAAGGCTTCGTTATTCCTAATCCCGCCTTTAAACCCGCAATTATAGATTCCTCTAATAATCTAGGAGTGGTGTTGTTCAACAATACCCTAAATATGCACTCTTTTCCAAGTTATGCACACTAAATAGGCACAGCTAATTGAGGATCCTGTTAATTAACTACAACGAACACGAAGTTGAACAAATAGAGATTAAACTAGCAATTTGTATTCACATAAACAAGAAGTTCATCACCCAATAGGTTCCATCAAAACCTTAGACAAGGAATTTAGCTACTCATGGCTATGGGAAAAAAAACTAAGATTGAATTCATCATAAAAATCAAAAGAAAAGAAGAAAGATGTTTAGAGTATTCTCTCACAATGGTTTTCCTAGCTAAGAAACCCTCAAAATCAATACATGCCTCTCTTGGGCGAAGTCTAATGTTTTAAATAGGGTTTAGGTCTAAAAATCCCGTAATTGACACTTTGGTCCCTAAAGTTTCTGCGCCTGCCGCGGTTCTGCGGCGGTCGCGGTAGAACCGCGGCCAAACACCCTCGCTGAATCACCGAGGTTCTGCAGCTGCTTCCCACCGCGGTTCTGCCGCGGTCGCGGTGGAACCGCGGTGGACCCAGTGCTCTGAATCTTCGGCCTATTTTGCATGGTTCACTTGGGAAATTTCACAGTTGGCCTCTTTTTCATCAATTTTGACTCCAAAACTGCTCCTTAGCCTTCCTTATACATATATCACCTGCATATCATGAAAATAACTAATAAGAGCATTTGGTTATCACTTTTAGCATTAAAACTACACAAGAAGGTGATTATTTAAGGTGTGATTATAGTCAAATTCACCTATCAACACCCCACACTTAAACCTTTGCTCGTCCTCGAGCAAACTAAACCACACTTCTAGGCCTAACTGTTCAATGCATTGCCCCAATTTATGTCACACCTGCTATTGTCAAAGATCGACCTAAGCGGTGCACAATCATATCTCAGATGCAGACTCTCATGCCAAGACACACTTGTGCTCACTCTAATTACTCTAACAGAAGTGAAGACTCACTTTTTCTTCCTGAGTCACATGCCCTCACATAAACAAAATTTTAGAGAAGTTCCACACACATAAAATTCAATAACAAGGAACCATATATAGAAAGAATTCGCTCACTCTCAACAAAGAGCATTCACAAGCCACACAGACACACCATAAGCTTGCCCCTAGTGAAATACTCCACTAATCGAGCCATTCAGTCAAAGATCACGAGGTCTTTATAGGTTGTAATGTAGGCTAAGGGACGGGTAGGATATATTTGGATATAGTGACTAACCTCCCTAAGCACTTTTAATACATACTTCCTCTTGTTTCACCTTCATGCTCAACCCAATCATTATTCCACATTTTGTTTCACTTGTGACCCCCACTTTTCTTTAGGTACAACTGGCTTCTTCTTTTTCTTTTCTTTTCTCTTTTTTTTTCCAGATTTATTGTACACTGCCAGTTCACCAACCAGAACCTTCATTCTTGATTCCCCTTTTTTCACTAACTCTCTCCCACCCCACACTTAGACTTTTGCATATTCTTTAGTGATTCAAGTGCTTCTAGGTGGTAAAGGTTCAAACAATTAGCTTATTCAAATACAGCGATTTAGATCATTATAGGTTTATCAAAGAATAGGCTTCAGGCTCAAAGGGGTTAACTATGGTAATATGCACAGGTGGATTCTTAAGTATAAAGGGTTGCACAAAGAAATGCCTCAATCATCTCTAAAATCAAACGACTTCTATTTCGCTTTGCAAACACACAAGGCAAGTTCTAGGTATCATATGCAAGCATAGGATACAAGTAGCAACTCACACACACTTAGCATGTAACTCATTCCGAATCAGTTCATCAACACAATCATACAAGTGTTCAAGCAAGACAAGATGTGCAAAATTAAGGCATATATTATGAGTCCACGAACAAGCTTAGACGTCCCCTCTCAAGTTCTTTTCTTTGCAAGTGTGCACCTTTGGGGTTACATTCTGACCTTCACCCATCTAATCCTAACACTACAAAGGAAAAATCTACCTAACCCGGTTCAAGAAAAACCCTTGGAAAAGAACCGTGGTCAAAAGAAAAACCAAGGGGGAGGTACTACACTACCTAAAAGAAGAAAATTAAAAAAAAATTCTACATGGACTACTTCCCTCAAGAGTACTGTCCACATAGTCCGTCATCAGGAAGAGTCCTCTACAAGTTTTTCTTTTTTCTTTCTTTTTTTTATATCTGACTTTGACCCTCAAGAGACCCGTCAACAAGTGTCCGTCGTTGGGCCAAGTCAGCTACTCCTAATATAACACACTCACATATGTACAACACATCTAATGCTACAACACAACAACATCTATATACATTACAATACATAGTTAGAGCAAGTCTCCCACCCCACACTTAAAATCATGGCATGTCCCCATGTCATATTAATAAAGTAAAGAGCAGAAGGGTGAGAAGACTTCCCTGAGACTCAATCCGAGTCGGAGACGGTGCTGGGGTCTACATGGCAGGCCCTCCCCAATGCGCGTAACCAAGCCATAAACCGGCTCTCAGATCTAGCCTGCCTCTGTGACATGGCGTCCATCCGCATGTGTAGACCATCCACCGAGGTGCGAAGATCCGCGACCTCTTCCTCTAAGGAGCGCAACATAGGCCGGGAGGACTGTGAGCGTGATAGGTCTGCTCCGAGAACGGGGGCGCCGAGTGGGCCCGGTACTGTCAACAGACCTCCTGGACGGTGCAACAGGGACCGGATCATCCTCCTCATCATCAATCTCAATTGTAGTGCGGGTGCCCCTGCCCACTTTGATGCTAGAAGCTTTGAAAGCTGCTTTGGGAGGCAAATCGCCATCAGCAGGGTTGGTAGGGGTGTTTCTCATCAAGCACAATGTGGTCACCAAGGAAGAGAAATAGAATCCCTTTGTCAGCAGCGGGCCCCGTAAGACCATTTCATCTCCAATTACCCGTGCCGCATCAAAATCCTTCCCTGTCACAAAGCACCAAGTCAACAGTGCCCTATTGAAGTTCACGTCCGTGGTATTGCTAGAAGGCAGGAACCTGCTACAGATAACAGTCAACCAACACTTGGCCAGGTGAGTGAAGGAGTTAGAGTTGAGGGTGATTTGGTCACGTATCCAAATAGGCCGCCCCCCTGTGCAAAGTACATCCGTCATGACCTCCCGTGTCACCCCGGGCCTGTCATGGTAATAATCGACATCACTGGTGAACGAAGGCAGCCGCAACACCCGGCAAATTATTTGAATTTGAGCACTGACCACCATACCCCAAACAATCACCTTCTACCCAAGTTCAATGGGCAGTTGGCATAAAATTCACGAACCAACATCTTGTTAACTGGTGCAGGGTCAGCAAATAGGAACTCCATTTTTCGCCTCCGTATTTCTTCATACATCTCCACTTTTTCGGCTCGGAGGGCTACCCGATCAATCGGATTTCATAGATGAACGTTTTTGTAGCCTGAGTGGTATTTGTTGTATGGTGGTTGTATGTCATGGGTACCATTGAAAGGAATAAGTGTGGGTGTATTATGCCGGAAGTTGGTCAGAAAATTATTAGGACTATGTGGGGGTTGTTATGAGTGAAGAAAGGAAGCTATATTGGGTGTCATTGGGTTGAAGTCTGAGTAACCATCTTAATTGCACTAGCTTAGGGCATATGTTGATGGTTTGTTTGATTATTTGCAGGATCAGTGGCTCCCAAAAGGCAAAGGCGCCTCGGGAGGCACATCCCAACGACCTGCTTATGTATGAGTCCAGATTCCAATCGGAACTAGCCGAGGACGACTTTCAACGCCA